TTGGTTGAATTTACTATATTTTATTTAATTTTATGGCTACCGATCGAGATAAAATTTGAAGAGCGTGAAATGTGAAACTCCAAAGGTATAAAATTTTGGCTTCGAGAATTCTCTGTTTGGAAGGTAGATCCTTCAATTTTACGAAATCTATTATATAAAATAAGAAATCAAACAATCAGCAGCTAACGTTAAGCCTGATGCAGGCAAATCATCGCAACAGCGATTCTTTTGAAAGAACAGAGGTATAATATTCTCTTATCCTTCTTTTTATGAAACGAAAGAACTTCAAGCGACTGGAGTACAAGTATAGTCATATATATACGTATAAACAGATAGCTTCGGACAATAGCAGCTAGTCGGGAATATTGTCACCATATAAATTCTTATCTCATTTTTATACCACTTTCTGTCTTTTATATGTTAGATATCATAAAGTTATCTTCCGAACAGTTAAATTTTTGAATTCAGCAAATATCTCAGAAGAGGGGAGCTGATCAATTGGAACAATATCCTTATTTTGTACTGACAATGAGATTTAACTAATCTAAGGGTCTAACCCTAGATTTAACTAATCTAAGATTAATTGGGCTATAATTTCCTGGAGACGAATCGCGTGGTATTTAAGCACTATAGAGAAGTAACCATGATCTCAAATATAAAATTTTTCGCTTCGGCTAGTTTTTGAGATATTAGAGAATTAAAAAATACATCAAATTCTATGATATTACAAACATTACTAATATATAGACTAATATAATGTTAAAAATTCGAGAAATCCTAACACTTCGTCCTCTAATCCTAATGATCACAGTTTAATAGAATGGCGAAAAAAAGTTGTACAGCAATATAAGGAACAATTATAAAATTGTATATCCAAAAGAGTTGTGACTCATCCGAATTGTTCGAGAGCTTGTATTGAATTGCTTATCCAGCCTCGTCTGCCGATCATCGTTCTTTGTCATAAGACCATTGTCTTAGCTCTTCTAGCGATCCTCGGTGTTTATGTTTATGTTTATACTTCTATTATGTAGATTCTATATACATACTATTGAATTTCTTTACAGCAAGTTTTATCATTGAAAAAAGACATAATTTAAATTTTCTATTGTAGATTCCCAGTCATAAAAAAAATTCTCAATATTTTTAAAAACGTTTGAGTTTTTTCAAGAATAGAAAAAATTTCGAGAATAGAAAAAATTTCTCACTTGCCACATAATATAAAAATATCTTCAAAAAAAAGGATAATCAAAGTAAATGTTTTTTTTTATATTTTGAAAAAAAATTCAAGTAAATATGACTTTTTTACAAAGTTATAATAAGACTTATATTTTTAATTATTTTAAAAATTTGTTCAGATTATCCAGCTGCGACTATTTGACATATGATCGAATAATTTTAAGACTCCGAAACAAGGATCGTGCAGCCTATTTCGTTATTTTCACCATTTCATGGATCAGAATCGATCGGTGAAATAGTAATAAAAAAATGTGGCAACCATGTCAAATTTTTAGATTTTGCACAAC